TTGAAGTCGGGTGTTTAAAAATGACATAAACTAGCGGGGGAGAGAGGGGAAGGTGGATGTGGTGCTGCGACAGCCCATGCGACACCATCTCTGCTTTGGGGAAATCATCCGACTCCAGGACCTGCTGATAAACGCCTATGATTCATGGAAGAGATGAATAGTGGTGTGATATTGATTGAATCCAATCCTCCCCGAAGAAGCAACGCACACTAGGTAACTCCAGGGTTAAAACTCAATCGATCGAAGGGTGGATGTCATTGTACGGAGCCAGGTACCCAGTCAGTATATTAATTAGTACCGTCGTTGGATAGAAAGAAGCCACACGGGACCCAGTCATGGAAGGGAAAACGCTATACCCCGTCGGTCCGACGGCATACCTTTAGGTGCATTTTTGGAACATACTATACTCAATAGTGCGCTCCATTAATATCGATTAGAATCGTCAGTCCTGCCGTCGGCTTCGAAAAAGCAATAAGAATTTCTCAGACCGAGGAGATCGTGAATGACGACAATGGTGCCACCCACCCACGGCTATGCCCGAGATCTTGAGTAAGGGAGGGCGGGGGTGAGCATGGTACGGTACCATGGAACAATTCTCTCAGGTACAAGGGGGTGGTGGATTTTGATGTAATACTAGTAGTTAGGTCTGGAATTTTTTCTAGTATTTCGTTTATTTTTATTTTTATTTTTTTTTTTGTTTTCAATTTAAAATTTCTTTTTCCTTCCTAGAATAATCAATAGGCTGTAAGTTCCCATTGCTCTCTACCTTGTTCTTCTACTTTTTTTCAGTTTGGAAAATCGTTCATCAGTGGGAAAACCAGAATAAAGAAAGAGTGCATTTTCACGTTTTCGCAGTTTTTGCAGGAGGGAATCTAACAGTCGAGTTTTGAATGCTTGTGCCGTGTTGACAAATGGGCGGTCGGATCGCTTCCAAGTGCGATTCGACAACCCTATGTCTTTATTATTATTATTATTACTACTATTATTGCTCCTTTATTTTCTCCTCTGGTAGTGAGGGATTACTGGCTGCAGGATGGTGATGGAGAGAAAGAGCATGTTTATGTGTCCTGTTGATGTGCGATCCAGCTTCCCCACTCCGATCGTTTCCAGATCTGGGCCAAGCAGAGCCACTGCAGTAACTTCACACCTCGCACATGAATGGACGGTTATTTTCCATGTCTTAGGTCTTTTGCCCTTTTTCCGAGAATGTGTAACATTCTTCCTCTCAGATCTCGAGTTCTCCGTGGTTTTGCATGTAAATTATGTAGAAGAACGAGGATAACATGATATGCACAGGTACAATGTTGTATAGCATTGGATTTACAAAGTAAAGAAAAAAATGAAAAATGAAAAAGAAAAGGTAGTCACTGCAGGAAGACTTCTATTAGGCAACAGGGTACGGAATATTTGTATTAGATCTAAATCTTATCATTGATCACTGCACTTTTGCATTGTTGCCTTAAATGGGTTGCCTGGATCGCATATAAAAAGCATGTAATATTGCGATACGCTTTGTGTACTGCTGCATCTGTCACACCCTAACCGCCGAGTATTCCTCAGGCAGACAAAAGCGGACATCATTAAGTATATACAATACATACTATAGATTGTACAACATTACTATGACCCGACTGCTACTAGCTATGTGTTGGCCATGCTGTCGAATCACAGCGACAAAACTATCATTTTTGGAGAGTAAACTAGGCAACCCAAGTTTTCTTCGCTATGCTATCTTGTTTTCAGTTGAAGTTATGTTGCTTCGATTCACATCTGGGTTCTTAGACCAAGTGAGTAGGCTGTAAAGTACATACCACCGAAGCAAGGTAGCTTGTTAGTGGGGGATTGTTGAGGATGGAAGTTGAGTCCGGCAAGCAGCCTGCCGAATGAATCTGCATGTTGTGTACCTTCTCTACCTTTTTTTTTTTACTTTCTTTTTCTCCTTCAGTATAGTTTCCTTTTCTAATTTACGAGAATAGAAGGAAGGAAAATATGATAGTCATAAAATAATAACTCTTTCTCTTATCCCCTCGCCCGCGGACTTGGATTTGGGAACGTTAGTCATTCCCGTCTTGTTAGTCTCCTTCCTTCTGCTTCTTTCGTCTTTTCTTTAATTAAAGTCGGTCGGCCGTTCCCCTAATTTGTGTAGCGTGCGATCTATGGATCTCGATGCATCCTCTGCCCCATCGCCATCAGTGATAGGGACCACTCATCATACTATTTCGCTCCAACCCCCCTCAATTACCTGAGTGGTTGACCACCCCTCTTTCCTTTTTGCGCTAGACACTAAAAAGCCTACACCGTACTACAACGGAGCACTTAGTAAATCTGCACATTAACGGCTAGTGGTAATATCCAATTTAGTTTTTGTTACCCATTCCCGAGTACGCCCCTGTGTCTTTAGGATGAACGCTAATCAATCCGTTGGGTGGTAATCTGTTAAGTTGGACCTTACCACTACCTAATTCTGTCGTGTATGTACTCCAATGGACTGGTGTTACTAATAAGGATCGATGACTCTCAGATCTGTTTAGTGCGGTGGTTTCATAATTGTGACAAAATCCATAGGGAGAACCTAATTCTTGATTTTTTGTCAGAGCTTTTTTTCCCCTTTCCTCATCGTTATTTTTTCAGAGATAGAAGAGTAAATAGAAAAGAAATGAGAATTTTTTTTTTTAAAAAAAAAAAATTGAAGAGTTAGGGAATAATTAGAGTACCAGAGGTACATACATACTGTACAATGGATGGTATCGTCGTATTGTCGTATTGTTGTTAATTACGTACTGTGTACGGAATACAGAGGGAGGGGGAAAGAAAAATGAAATAAAATAAAAAATAAAAAAGTGGGAAAGTAAACTACTGCTAATTACTTGTTCTCTTGTTTTTCATTATTTGAATTTATTAATTTATTATTATAATTTTTGAATTTTTGGTCAGGGACGACCGCCCCCCCTGGTAAGGCTCCATCGCACCCCACCCAGATATCCGCACATCGCCAATATGATCCCAACTCACTCCACACTTTGTCGAAGATCCGCAGTTCGCAGCGTAAAGCTTCTGTAATTCGCCGTAACTTTAAACTGGTCACGACGGCAAGTGTGATTCGCCGATCTTGTAGTCCCATTTTGGCTTTTCTGGCTGTCTCTTTTTAATTTTCCAGGTCTGAGCTCATCCTGTCCTGGGCCGATGTCGTTAGCTGCTAGCTCTTTCGCTGGACCCTCCCTCCCATATCTCTCGTGGCCGTGTGTGCGGGACTGCTTGTGGCTGTCTTTTAGGACTAGTCTCGAGGTACTGGAGGTCTTTAATAGTTTCCTTATTTTTATTTTCTATTTTCTAAAATTCTCATTTTTCTTTTTGATTTTAATTGCTGAGGTACTAGTACTTGTATTATAATTATTTTATTTTATTTTATTTTCCTTTGGGGATTTATTTATTTTTCGATTTGATTTAGTCTATGATCAATTCTTCTCCATCGATTATAACTTATACTTTTTCTTCTGCTTCTTCATCTTCCTCTCACTCTTTCCCCTACCGCGAAGCTACCTCTCTTCCTCCCACCCTCTCAGCTCTCGTCTTCTCACATTCCCAGGGAAAAACAGAGGACGGTTCTTGCTCTTTTACTCCCCCGAAGCAATTGTCTCGCTGCCTATAATTTCTACCCACTAATACCTCTCACCCCTCCTCTCGTCCTCTTCCTCACTATCATCTCTACACACGTTCCCTATAATTGGTTTTATTTTCTGCCACCTCTTCCACTTTTCTTTTTTGTCGGGAACGAAAAAGAGACGAAAGGAAAGCAATTTCAATTAGAAAGCCCCGTCTCCCTTCCACGCGACGCACTCATCTCTTGTCATCCCTTGCGTTTACTGCGCCTCCGCCGCTCGACACCCGCTCACCAAACTCAAACCACAAGTCGAGTCTATCTGAGGATTCGAAATCTGACTGTTAAATTTCGCTGTGCGAATTTGGCTTTGGACAGATGAGTCTTCCAGACGCAGGAAGGGCCGTTCCGATCTGATCTGTTCGCTGCGCACTACGGGTGCGTGCCGTACTTTTGCTATCGAATTAATTGCATTTGAATTGCGGGTATCCTAATCGCGATCGCATCGCCTGCAGACTGCCTGATCTTCCTTCCCCCCCAACGCCACTTTTTTTTTTCTCACACTCTTGGAGCTCCTCCCCAATCATCGAGTCGCCGCTCTCTACTTTAGCTATTCCTCTCTGGGCCAACTCACGGAACCGACGGGTCTTTTCCTTCTTGGGTTCCTCTTACGTCCGCATCTCGCCCGACTTGATCTCTTTCTCTTCATTTTCCCTTCCCCACAACCGCCACCCACCCCCGGACAACTCTGGTTCAAGGGAAGAAAGGTGGCTGATCATCTCTATTTTTTCTTTTCGTTTCCTTTCTTTAATCGAAATCAATAAGAAAAGAAAGAAGAAGAACCTTCGAAATCGATTTATTCGACCGGTGACGCGCACTTGAAGGACGGCAATCGCTTATCGGAAAAACGGTTGGAATCGTTATTACTTTCCATCCCTTCGCCTCTGAAGCTCACTGTTCTCGGCCGGTCGCTTTCGCCGTTGAAACCCACCCACGCTACTATCTTTTTTGTCCCTTTGATTTATTTTTTATTTTTAATAATTAACGAATTGGTACCCTCTCCCACGGTACGCTATTACATTCTAGCCGAGGCGACTGATGGTGCATGAGGTCAAGGGCGAAATCGCAAAGGCATAATCAGAAGTATTGGCATGATGGGGTCATTGGAAGCCGGTCATAGGCATAGGTTCGTACCTTATTAATTCCATCGCCTCCTCGTCGTCACAAGCGTCCGAGTTACATTTCGGATCACATGTACTGATTTCAACCTTCTTGGACGCATAGGGACCATCTGCCAGCCCTTGGTTTTCTAGGAAAAGACGGATCGGGATATCCCCCCAAACACCCTGCTGTTGCATCGGGCCCTGTCACATCACCAGGAGCTCTCCTCAGCCCAACAAGCATGTATTCCGGTCAGCCATTACCATGCTCGTACCCAACATCGTCCGCCACCGCACCCTCTGTGCAACCTGGTTATATCTCACCTACGCATTCGCGGCGCGCGCTCGAGGAGGAGAAGGAGAAGCAACAGTCACAACCACAAAGGCAATCACTGCCGTCCATCCACGAAGCTTTAGGAAACGATAACCCCCTTCCGTATCCTGCACCCACGTCGGCGGCTCCTCAGCAGCCTCATCATGCGCCACATTCGCATCTTCTATCTTCAAATGTTATAGGACGACCGACTGGCGAAGCACCGTCGGGGCCATCGAATCCGTTTTCAAATGTGATATCGTCAGGGCCTTATGTGGTGCGGGACTCAGCGTACCCTCAACCTCAACTACAAGCAGAAGCATCTCGGGGGAGTTTGGCGTCAGTTACCACTCAAGATTCGCGAAACCCCTCGATTCAATCCCTAAGTTCAGGCAAATCACCCACGCAGAGCCAAAAAACAGGAATTACTTCAATCGCTGGCTCACAGACGGGATCCGCCTATGAATATAGTGCTCCTACTTCTGCGGGCAGCATTGCCTCTCCTAACGGCTATGGTCCATTTCCGCAGAACTTCTCCTTCCAGTCGCAGCCTCCACCACATGCGCCAGCGTATCCGGTTGCGTATGACACCAGACCCTACGGTACTACATGGAAGTCGGGTGTGCCCGAAATTGCGCGTGTCGAGGAAATGAAGGGCGGACTTGCGGGTCGTGCTATTGCGGGACAGATCCCGGGCGATTCTGTCAAACGGCATTTGGACGTGTATGATGTGGAGACATCGCTCAATGAGGTAGGTGAAAACGTGGTTTTAGTGTGGACACTCGATCCCCTATTTTCAGTTGGCTAATTATGAATAGATTGCCGAGATGAGCACGCGCACATTGGACTTTTCACGGCACTACGCTGCAAGAGCGCACCAGTCCCAGCGTTCTGGGCCCGTTGCCATGCCCTCTATACAGGAAGTAGAGGAGATGCTTAGTGTTCAGCGCCGGAACCAGGATGCCTTGCTACGTATACGAGCTGCAGTTGTGAGCCAAGAGCACGCATTGGCAGAACAAATGGCCCAAAGAAAAGCTTTCAAGGCCGGTGGGGTCCGTGACGATGACCACATGGCAATGTACCAAGATGAATACAAGGGTAGTGGCGGTTTTGCCGGACCAGATTCGAAGAAGCGCCGAGGGGTACGTTACCTTTTTTCCTTTTCCTTTCCTTTTTTGTATTTTTTGTTCCTTGCTGTCTGTGTGTGAATGGGCCCCATGGTCCCAGTACCCTGGATCCATCCGGGTTATCCCCCTTTTCCTATTCGCTGTCACTAACACAAACTATAGAAAGCAGCCCCTCCTGGTCGTTGCCACAGTTGCAACCGAGCTGAGACACCCGAATGGCGCCGCGGTCCAGATGGTGCTCGGACTCTATGCAACGCATGTGGATTGCACTATGCCAAGCTGACGCGCAAGATGGGTGCCAAACAGGCATCGTCCTTGGGTTCCAACCTTAAACCCAAGACTCTCGACTCCGCATCTCCAACTGGCCGTTAAAATGTCAGACGTCTCTTTATGTGTGGCGCTGAAAAACAGAAGAAAAAAAAAAACAAGAAAAAGAAAGAAAGAAAGAAAGAAAGAAAAAAACAAAAACGAAGAAAGGCTTTGGGATTAGAAGTGTTTGGCGTTCTGTGCCTCTATTTCCTCATTCATCATAAACCTCTTATGTTGGTGTCATTCCTGATAATTCACCTTGGACATGATACAGTTCGATTTGTTTTGGGCTCCGGGTTTCCTTTTCAGGTGTGGTTACGAAATGTTCCGAGCATGTTGGACTTTTTCTGTTCTTGTCCGATTGGTCGTTGGAGTTACTTTTTTAATACCCCTCGCACGTTGTGGGAAAAAGGCATCTGGATAGACTTTCGTTCTGGTTATTGTGTCGTTTCTGTGGGACCAGCATGTACACAGTTTCTTTCTCCTTGCCTTTTTTTTTATTTTCTTTTGTTCGCCGGTTTTCCCTTACTGTTTTGCGATCTGTTACAATTATACCCCAGTTACCCACGTCTCCTACCTAACCTTACTTGATTGCCCTATACTCCCAGTGTGCCATATGATGTTTCTTATGCACTCACGTTTTCCATGGGAGGTTGAAAGAGGCGCTTGACTCGATGCAGTGATTAATGTAACCTTATTTGATTGAATTGCCTCTGTTCGAAAAGTTGACTAGTCACGGACGATAATATTATACATATCTGATGTAAACCAAGATCTCTATCCGAGTCGCTCTCTCGCTCTGGCGTAAGGCACCAAATTCATGGATCCGCAGTGGTGGCGAATATCACACGCCGGGCTTGGCTAGAGGTGGTCTGATGAAGATGGCCATCTCCTTGAGCCCTGGATCAAGATGCAAGTGAGGGGGCAACGTATTATTGTCTAAATCGGGGGTTTGTTTTGCATCGATCAGTCTTTCCAAGACCCTGTAGATCCGCCACCGCCGTCATCGTGTTAACCTCCCCGAGTGTTCGGCGATCTATAGTTGGTTCGCCTCCTAGTATAATTGTCCATTTTGGGTTAATGGATATCATTTTCACTAGTTGCATGGTCATCGGGGCTCTGTTCGCTACCATCAGTGGTACTAACTAGGTACTGCATCGTTGGATCTGGTCTAATGCCATGTGAACCCCGACACCTCTTGCAACGCCTCTCCCTACGTCATTCTCAGGAATAGAGGCTCTACAAAAATATTTTGGGTCAAACTACATCATTTAGCAAAGGAAAAAAAAGGAAAAGCATCTCACATAAGCGTGCACGCCCGTTCGCGAAAAAGTCAAGTTTGCCATCGGTATACTCCGAAGGGCGCAATCCTTCAACTTACTCAAACCAGTATAGCATATACAATTTACGTAATCCGACTCAATTGCCCAACTGCCAAGCGTTGATTGGCTGGCAGTCCATGGCGACTCCGCCAAGCGGCCCTAGAACAGACTAGAACCAGCTCACGGGACCGAATTCAAGATGGCCTGAGCGTGCCATCGATCTTTTCTCTTTTTGAGCGGCTTATCGCTCCCCCCCGCGGAGAAAGCGAGATGTGGCCGATTGATGTTGTTGGGGGGTTTAAGGTTCATCAAATTCTTCATTTTCAGATCCTTGGTGCCGCAGAACGATATTAATCTTAAAGAGTTTAGTTGGGGTGGGTTGGTTGGGTCCAAGGGCTGATTCAAGGGGCGCCAATGCGACTATCGAAATCGATCGGGATCTGATCTCAATCTCATCGCATCTCATCTCATCTTGCATGATAGCCGCTTCAACCGATCATGGCTTATGATCCCAACGCCACCAGATGGTGATGGGGGCATTTGCCTCACCGCTCAATAAATTTCAATATGCCATGCCCTTCTAGAAACACGTATATACGGAGATGGAGATGGAGATGTCTCTGATCTGTTCTCCTGTTGTTCCGGCCATCTGCGGCTTTCGGTTGGTGTAACATCTTGTGTTTGGTATCTGGTATTTTCGATTCGAAGATTTCCCTGTTCATTTTATACAATAGGGGCAAAAGACAAAAAGAAGTTTATAAGAATCAAAATTTTTCCTCAAACTTCGCGTTGCCTTTGTTTTTTTATAGCGAGGCTTCAATTTAGATACAGAAGGTGTCTGCCCCGATATACCTAATTAGGTAGGAAGCACTTTTAACTTGGTCCCTAATCTCGGTCCCCTACCTAAATTAAATACAGACGTATACCTTATTACCTACCGATACATACATACATAGGTGTACAACCTGGTTACCACTCAAATACTATACATACCGCTACTTGCTTGGGTTGCCCCATCTGTTTCAATGACTTGACATCGAGTATTTGGAATTAGCCTGCCGTGTGCATCGGTGCCTCACTTTTCCACAAATGATTTCAAATCACTTCGGTCATGCCACCTTCTTAACCTAGACGGTACTAGGCTCCGTTGCCATGCAAATCCTTCCAGCCGAGGGTTTGCCCCATTAGGAAGTTCATGGTCTGATTGTGTTCCAAGTTTGGAACCGTCCGTCCGTTTAAGTTGGCTGGCTCCATTGATCCAAAAGGATGGAGCTTCTCCGAGACCCGGCCGGTCGGGTCCATGTCGACGTCATTTGGGACGTAATTTAGGGTGTTTGTTGACTTTTGTTCTGGAAGATATTTGGATTACTTTTGGTCTGGGTTTGGTTGGCTAATTAGGTCTTTTCTCCATCTGCTAGTTATGGGTGTTTTGTCTCTCCAGGACTTCTCTCCATATTCTCATGGCCCATTGCCTACTCGGTCTCCATACCGACGTACCTACTGTTCCACACATACCAAGTACTCCAAACCACCTCAAATATTCATGACTCCAACGATCATCCCTCACCACCGAGTTAAGCGCAGTCCCATTATTTGACCCCTCGAGCGGTCAATCACCGAAAGATCATCCATCCTGCGCAGGGACATGTCGTCCTTACTTGAAGGATACGAATAAAAATAAACCAAAACCAATTCAAATAATACTGGCAATAATAATAAAAAATAAAGACAGCTGAGTGCCTTTCTCAAGCTCCACCCCCTTCAGGCAAGATGGATCTGCACCCCGATGCTTGTCTGATAACCCCATTCAGGAAGCGGTCTGCGAGAGTCAAGCTCTGACTGGTAAACGAGAAAGAGAAAAATGTGGGGTATATGCAGTGACGTCCCCTTTCTTGACCATCCTCAGCTGAACTCATCGTGGCTGTGTACATACATGCAACACGTACATACATGATGCATGCGTACGTGCATGGCGTGTACCGTACTCCGTATACCTGGCCGGTACTTCTCTTTTTTCTCGCAAATGACTCAAGTAATTATAGCATAGAGCATCTCGAGGCCTCGAAAACGGTTCTCTAGTTCCGAGATATTTGGCGTCTGATTGCTTGGGTATCTCTGCCGTCTGTCCCCATATCTTACTAAGGCCTGCAGCTCGTTGGGGCCACGGTAGAAGCAACGGGAACGTCTCGATCACGGTTCTTGATGCCTGTCCCCACCAGCTCTCCGATACGCAGATACGTTTTGTTGAATATTCAGCTTCGCTTCAAACTTTTCATACATTTTGTCCCTTGCGCCGGGGAAGATCTCGAATCGGGCTCTCGGGGAGGAAGAGAAGCCCGTGCTCGGGGAGTTGTAGATCCCTCTTGAACCATCTTTGGTTCTGGATCTGATTCTGGCTCGCATGTTTTGACTTGGTTTTTGTTTGGGAGGTTGTTGGGGTACGGATTCCCCAGCTGTAGTTCTTTTTATTACTAGTCCGTTTCTTAATTTTGCGTTTATTTTTTATTTTATTTTATTTTTTTTGCACGCGAACCTCTGCAGCTTAGCTGCTGCCTGTCGGATACAACAACAATCGATGAACACCTGTCGGTGTATACTTACACAAACACACATACGTACATACCGTACAGATCTCCTCTCAGCTCCCTTCGTTAATGAACCAAAAAACAAAAAAAAATCTCGCCGAGTCTATGTACCACCTATAACCCAACTAATTGGGCCCAGCCCTCGAGCTAGTCAGCGTAGAACGTTACGTTCTCAGCCGCTCCGTAGCTACTAGTGGCATACATATGTCGTGGAACACGAGCCCGGAGAGCTACGGGAGCTGAAAAAAAAAGATAATGGGATAGTTTATTCGTGGGCGTGCGTATCAGATTTGCAGGGATCATTGTTACACGGGCTGGTGACTGGATGGCATTTAACCCCTAATTAGGGTTATCTGGATTGATCTCACGCTTCTGTTGCATGATATCTTAACCTAGTTCGTACATATATGCATATTTTGATTTCTGTTGGCGGTTCTCTGGGAATACAATTTAGCCTGTACTCCGTCGCCGGTATGTTTGTATGAAGCCGTATGTAAACAATGAATTTAAGGGTTCCAGAAAAAAAAAAATAAAAATAAAAATATTATCTCAAACTATTGAAGTTGATCTCGAATTTAGACTTCCCATAGCCCCGGGATGATCGGAAGCACCAGCAAATAATCCCTGCGATTATCAGAACTATAATAGTAATGGGACACGGACATGGACACACGGACTCTCTGGCCCCTGAGGGAAAAAAAAACGGGGTTCTCCGTAATGAGACGTGGAACGCGGCACGAACACGAGGGGATTAAAAATAATAATGAATATTGATAATGATTATTTTTTATTTTTCTTTTTTGGCCCGTTTACTCGAAATGGTTCGATGGGTCTGCATACATAAACTGTCTCCCCTAGTGCAGAGTCATATGTATGGTTAAATGCAGTGTACCAAATTCTATAGGACAGAGGAAATTAACTTCGACATAACGCTAGAACTATTTGCAGACCGTTCCGTACTCGGTAAGCGACCACTCCATAATACATACTATATCCTCAGGTTGGGATTATAGCCATCTCTTCCATCCTTCTCGCTGTTCCGTCGGTGGGGTTCCAGCGAAAAAACACCGAGACAAGGACATAGATAATGCAGAAGACAACAATGTACTATGCAAATGCACATACGGGATTTGAACAACGGCCCCTGATTCACTCC